GAGTCTCCGAGCGGGGGTCCCCGCCTCCCCAGGCCGAGCCCAGCACCCGCCCGCTGCGGGGCGGCGGGACCGGAGACCTCCTGTGAACCCCCCAGCGCGGGGGGAAGTGGGTGTGAGACAGCGACTTCCAGGCGCTGCCCAGCGCCCAGCGCTCATCCCCCAGCCGGGCATGGGTCGCCTTCAGGAAGGCAGGGCCCGTGAGGGGCGCGGGGATCAGCGGCACGGCGCAGGCCGCCATGGCGACAACGCCTCGCTCCGGAGGCTAGGCCGCGTCTCCATAGCGACGGCTTCCCGGCGTGCACCAGCGCGTCGTGACGTCACAACCCGGAAGCGTTGCTATGGCGCCCAGCGCCCTCAGCGGCCTGGTCGCTGCGTTGGAGACCCACCGGGGCCGCGACCGGGCGGTGAGTGAGGGAGAGCCGGGAGCGGCGGGGCCCTCACCGGGTTCTCCGCCCCTCACCGGGTTCTGCCCCCCCGCCCTCGCCGCAGGTCCGTGCGCTCTGCTATGGCTGTCAGCTGGCGGGCGGGGCGCTGGCCGGCCCGCAGGCCTCCCCGTCCGGCCTGCCCGGGAGCCTGCTGGCCGTGTCCGCCGAGCTGAGCGCCTGCCGCACGGCGCTGCGCCTCTTCGATGACCTCGCCATGCTCCGCTACAGCTGCGGCTACGGGCTGGGCCCCAAGGTGAGCGCGGGGGGGACCGGCAGCTCCCTTTCCCCCCAGGCCCCACCGCAGGAACCAGTGCGTGTCCCCCCCGCCCCCCCGTGCTCCCCACAGGACGAGGACGGGCTGGTGCGGGCGCTGTCGGTGCTCTGCAACGTGGCCAACCAGCTGTACTACCCCTGCGAGCACGTCGCGTGGGCCGCCGACGCCGGCATCATCCGTGCCCGTGCTCAGAAGTGGTGGACGCTGAGTATGGGGCTCTGGGCATTGTCCCTGCTCCTGGGTATCCTCCGGTAAGGTGGGATGCGGGGGCGGGAGGAAGGAGATGGGCAGGGTATGGAGCGTGTCCCGCTCTACTCAACGCATGTCAGGCTGCTCCTGGAATCCTGGGCTCAGGTTTGGTCCCTGCTATACCAGAGAAAGATGTGGATGGGCTGGAGAAGGGCCACAGCGATGATCCAAGGACAGGGCAGCTGTGTGCTGAAAGGCTGAGAGAGGTGAGTCTGTTTAGCCCTGGGAAAAGAAGGATCAGGGAAGACCTTATCACTGTGTTCCTGTAGTTAGAGTGGCTACAAAGACAATGGAGATTACCTTTTTACAAGGAGTCATATGGAAAGCACAAGGGGTAACAGGTACGAGTTACTCTTAGGGAGACCCTGGCTGGACACAAGAGGAAAGATTTTTATCATGAGAGCAATCGGCCATTGGAGTGATCTCCCCCAGAAGTGGGGGATTCCCCAGTGCTGGGCACTGTTAAGATTTGGCTTGGTGATGGGCCATCTAGTTGGGGTCATGCTTTGCCTAGACAGGTTGGACCAGATGATCCCTGAATTCCCTTCCAAGCTGCTGTTCTATGATTCTCTGATTAATCAGGATAAAATGAATGGCCCTCCAAGCAGTAGAAGGGTGCTCTTCCTCACAGATACAGTTCATGTTGAGAAAACCCCCTCCCCTTTGCTACAGGGGAGATAACTCTCTTGTCTTGTTTTCAGATCCCTCAGAGTCTTGTGCCAGTTAAGAAAGCTGAGGCAGCACAATGGGTAAGATTGCCCTTCTTGGACATCCAGCTCATTTAACACAGCTCTGCCTGTTCTCATTTGTGAGCTGTCGCTAACTGTTAATACATGATGGGCTATCAATCCTCACGTTACTTTTGCTTCCAGCAGGACACCTTCGCCTCAGAGTCGGAAGGAAGTGAAAGCCCAAGTGAAGGCTGAAGTTCTGAGCATCCTTGCACAAGGGGCAGATCTCTCCAATGCAATCCATTGGCTGCCTCCAGGATTTCTGTGGGCTGGAAGGTTTCCTCCATGGTTAGTTGGTCTCCTGGGGACTGTATCTTCCCTGATAGGTATCTACCAAGCCTCTAGAGGAGGGAGTTCTGAAGCTGCCTAAACCATCATTAAGCTTCAGGAGCCCAATTTTTACCTGGTGAAGATGCCTTTAGTGAGGCAGGGTGCACTTTAACTCTCCTGGAAGGCAGTGATTGATTTCATCCATCCTGTAAGTGGGACTGTAATCAAGATGTCTATTACAGAGGGGGTTGTTTGCAGCTAATGATTGTTATCGCTCTATTGAGAAATCTTTCAGGTGAATCCTCTGACAAATCAAAAAATCTATGATTGATAAAATAGGGAAAACAGGGAAAACAACTTCCATCCTTCCGTCCTCCGTCCCAAAAGACAAACACAACCCTCCAGTCTTCGCTGTCACTTAAAAGCGCACAAAGTCAGCATTAGGAGGGAAACCAGCCACGGTTCTGTAACACAAAACTTCCGAGAGCTGGATCCTGTGAGCCTGAGCCTGGTGCCTTGGGAGGCGACCTGGATCATGGGAGTTTCTCCATCGAATATTCCAGTGTTTGAGCCCAGAAGTGCTGCCCCCAGCAGAAACAGGAGCCAGCTGTTATTTTGTGTTGGTTGTGTTTCTGTGGAGGCCAGAGGGGAAGGAAATAACCACTGGGAGCCGTGTGGGGCTTTCTTCGAGTCCGTGTTGCTCCTGAAGGAGAAATATCGGAAGTTGGGACTTCGTGGGTGAAGGAGAAGCTGCGCCGAGCCTCCAGCCGTGCCTTGCTGGACTGCCGCCGGGTGGAGCTCTTCCACCAGGCTGTGGCAGCAGCGAGTGTATTAATTCCCGTTCAAAGAACCAATCAAACCCGTGCAAAGATGAGGTTTACAGTTACATTTCTAGGTGGTGCCAATAATAAACGAGATGAATGCTTCAAAGTCGGCCTTGAGTGAGCCTTCCTTCCTGATAACCCGGCAAATGTGCTTTTACCTGGTTCTAGAAAGCTCCAAGTGGTGCCTGGGCGTCAGGAAACGTTTGCGCTGTGGGAGCTTACCAAAAGAATTGGGAGCACCTGAGGAAGCAGCAGGAAAATGCAGCCTTGGACAAAGGTTGTGCTTGAGTGTGTGTGGAGCTCGTGCTCCTGCAGCCAGGAGCTCTGACCTCCTCTTTTGTGGTGTTGCTTTTGGAACAGACATGTGAAACTACCTCCTGCCTGCGTCCAAAGGGCAGAGCGAGGACTCGATACTCCTTATCCTTCGCCCTGTCCTTGCTCTTTATCTGCACTTTTGCCCTGCAGTGCACCCCAAGGACGCCTTCCTGACTCTGCTCCCGGTTTGCTGTCAGATCTCCAGCTTTTGGGGCTGGGGGAGGCAGAACAAACAGGAAGAAACTTGTTTATTTTTCTTACAGATCTTGTGCCTGGGTCCTGCTCAGGGACAGCTGCAGCTGATGCCTGCTCCTGTCACCCTGCAGTGGCTCCTGCTGCAGTTTCATGGGGTTTAGTAAGAAATCAGATTCTCTCTTTTCAGATCCTTAACCTCATGAAGCTACTCCTCCTGGATACCCTCTCCCGCTCAGTGTGGGATCTACAGAGATTGAAAAGACCCCAAATACATCTCTGATACCAAAATGATAAAACTCTATACCACGCTTTCAATTTTAACACAGAGAAGGGCCCCTCTCCGCTGCTCCGAGTGCATTTGCTTCACCCGCTTCCATGTTGAGCCATTCGGAAGTGCAGGAGAAAGCAAAGGTAAAGCAAAACGTGGTCATTCCAAAAGTTGTGTGTTTCTGTGGAGCAGCAGCACTGGCACACAGCACTCGAGCCCCTGTGGTGTCTGCAGCCACCTCCCCAGGGCAGCGCTGGCAGCGCTTGCACACACAGACCCCATCCTCCCCAAAACTGCCTTTTTTGGGTGATTTTTCCTCTTTTCTGCTGTGGCCATCAGTCCAACCCGGCTCCTGCTTTGCTGCACTCAGGAAAACACTTCCTAAGTGTGGATGGATGGATGATAATGGGTGGGTGGGGGGATGGATGGGTGGGTGGGTGAATGGATGGGTGGATTGGATGGATGGATGGATGGTGGATGGATGGGTGGATGGATGGATTGGATGGATGTTTTGGATGGGTGGGTGGATGACGGATGGATGGATGGATGGATGGATGGTGGATGGATGGATGGATGGTATGGATGGGTGGGTGGATGGATGGGATGGATGGATGGTGGATGGATGGAAGGATGGATGGTATGGATGGGTGGGTGGATGGATGGATGATGGATGGATAGGTGGATGGGTGGATGGATGGGTGGATGGATGGATGGGATGGATGGATGGGTGGATGGATGGGATGGATGGATAGGTGGATGGATGGATGGATGGATGAATGGATGAATTGGATGGATGGTTTGGATGGGTGGGTGGATGATAGATGGATGGGTGGATTGGGTGGATGGGTGGGTGGATGGATGGATGGTGGATGGGTGGGTGGGTGGATGGATGCATGGATGGATGGGTGGATTGGGTGGATGGGTGGGTGGATGGATGGTATGGATGGATGGTATGGATGGTATGTATGGATGGATGGGTGGATGAATGGATGATGGTGGGGTCTGGGAGGGACCAAGCAAGCAGCCGAGATCCAAGGGCCGTTGGCAGCAGAGCTGGGGGTCAGTTACGGCATCACCGGGGCTGCAGAAGGCTTGAGGAGGGTCCCGGCCCCCGCCGCTGCTGCGGGGCGGACAACGGGGCTTTGGGGGGGGGGCACGTCCGGACACGCTGCCGCCGGGCACGCAGGGGTTAAGGGGCGGCGCATGCGCACGCCAGTCCCCGGCTCCCATTCATAAATGAGCGAGCGCTGAGCGCTTGCGGCCGCTGATTGGCTGTTCCATCGCCCGGGGGCGGGGCCTGCGGCGGGGCGGCCACGCGGCGGGGTGCGGCGGCGGCGGAGCCGAGCGGCGGGAGCGGAGCGAGGTACGGGACGGGCGGCACCGGGAGCGGGCACTGCCGGGTCCCGCCGGTGCCGTGCCCTGCAACCGCCTTTGGTCCGGGACCGCCCGGTGCCCGCTTCGGGCTGCGCGGTGCGCGCCCCCCCCCCCCCCCTCCGGTGTGCGCTTACCGCGGTCCCGGCTACACCCGCGCCCGTCCCGGTGCTTCCTGCGCTGACTCCGGTTTTCCCTTGGCGGAGCGGCCTCGGCACCATGTCCGTGAGCAGCCACGAGAACCGGAAATCCCGCTCGAGCTCCGGCTCCATGAACATCCACCTCTTCCACAAACCGGGCCACGCCGACAGCCTCCTCACGCACCTCAACCTGCTCCGCAAGCGGCACCTCTTCACCGACGTGGTGCTGCGTGCGGGGAACCAGACCTTCCACTGCCACCGGGCTGTCCTGGCCTCCTGCAGCCGCTACTTCGAGGCTATGTTCAGCGGGGGCCTGAAGGAGAGCAGAGACGCTGAAGTGAACTTCCACGACTCCCTCCACCCCGAGGTGCTGGAGCTGCTGCTGGACTATGCCTACTCGGCGCGGGTGCTGATTAACGAGGAGAACGCCGAGTCCTTGCTGGAAGCCGGGGACATGCTGCAGTTCCAGGATATTCGGGAGGCTTCGGCTGACTTTCTGGAGAAGAATCTCTACCCCGGGAATTGCCTGAACATGCTGCTGCTGTCCGATGCCCACTGCTGCGAGCGGCTGCTGGAGCTCTCCTGGAGGATGGCGTTGGCCAACTTCACCTCGCTCTGCAAGACTGAAGACTTCCTGCGACTGCCCAAGGACAAGCTGCTGGAGCTGGTGGAGAGCGAAGAGCTGGAGGTAGAGGACGAGACGTTGGTCTATGAAGCTGTTATAGGTTGGATCCGCTACGACTTGCCCCGGCGTCACGAAGTTCTGCCCGAGCTGCTGCGCTCTGTCCGCCTGGCCCTGCTGCCCGAGTCCTACCTGCGCAAGCAAGTGGCCTGCGAGAAGCTGGTGACCAGCCACAAGCTGGGAGAGGAGATCGTGGCTGACGCCGTCCGATGCAAGATGAAGATCCTGCAAAACGACGGCCTGGTGACGGGCTGCTGTGCCCGACCCCGCAAGGTCAGCCAGGCCCTGCTGCTGCTGGGGGGCCAGACCTTCATGTGCGACAAGATTTACGTGCTGGATCACAAAACCAGCGAGATCATTCCCCGTGCGGACATCCCGAGCCCTCGGAAGGAGTGCAGCGCCTGCGCTATCGGCTGCAAGGTGTACATCACCGGCGGTAAAGGCTCCGAGAACGGCGCTTCCAAAGACGTCTGGGTTTACGACACCCTCCACGACGAGTGGGCAAAAGCTGCTCCCATGCTGGTGGCGCGGTTTGGCCACGGCTCCGCGGAGCTGGACCACTGCCTGTACGTGGTGGGGGGGCACACAGCAGGCAGCGGCGCCTTCCCGGCCTCCCCCTCCGTCTCCCTCAAGCAAGTGGAACACTACGACCCGCAGCTGGACAAGTGGTCCTTGGTGGCTCCTCTGCGCGAAGGCGTCAGCAACGCCGCCGTGGTGGGAGCCAAGATGAAGCTGTTTGTCTTCGGTGGCACCAGCGCCAACCAGGAGAAGCTGCCCAAGGTGCAGTGCTTTGACCCCTGCCAGAACCGCTGGTCGGTGCCCGCCAGCTGCCCGCAGCCCTGGCGGTACACGGCCGCTGCCGTGGTGGGCAGCCACGTCATCGTCATCGGCGGCGACACGGAGTTCTCGGCCAGCTCCGCGTACCGCTTCCACAGCGACACCTTCCAGTGGTCCAAGTTTGGGGACGTCACCGCGAAGCGCATCAGCTGCCGCGCCGTGGCCTCGGGGAACAGGCTGTACGTGGTGGGGGGGTACTGCGGGGCTCAGCGCTGCAAGACGCTGGACTGTTACGACCCAGCGTCCGACACGTGGAGCAGCGTCACGACGGTGCCTTACTCCCTCATCCCCACCGCCTTCATCAGCACCTGGAAGTACCTGTCCGCCTGAGGCGCGGCGTGGCGAAGGACCTGGGGGGTAAATAGGTGTGCATCAACCCAGAGCTCCAATCTGTGCTGCGCAAGGGGTGAACCCTGAGGGGCAGGTGCGTGTGGAACCGGACTGGGACTGGAGTTGTTGTAGGGAACGGAGCATCAGCACCAGAAAGGTGCTTCCGGGCTGGTGGTTTGATGTAAAGCTCTGCAGGAGCGAGACCAAACGTCTCTTTAGGTGCTGAAACGCTGCGGGGAGAAGATTAGTATTAATAACAGACACTTAACCTGGCATCCCAGCCCTTCCACTGGGTCTTGGCCTATGCAAAGCTTCTGGGGAATGCTGTCTGTGAGGAGGATTGGGTGTCACCCCTGGTGCAGGAAGCTCCTCAGGCGCTGGGCGAGAGGCGAGCTGCCTGCAGGAGACCCAGTGGTGCCATGGGAGGCTGCTTTTAGCACAGCCTCCTCCTCCTCCTGGTGCCATGGTTAAGCTGCTGGTGGCACCCAAATGTCTTGCGGGTCGTGAGGGCTGTGAGCTGGTGCCAGGACAAGATTATAGCTGGGGTTTGGTCCCAGAAGGGTCGGTAATTGCGTTTGTAAGACAAGCCCTGTCTGCATATAAACACAGGGTTTCTCTGCTTCTAATTATTCCCCGGTGTCCCTTTCATGCCATCGCTTTCCTGCAACCCAGCCATTAACTCTTTAAAAGTTTGCAGCTGGAATGAAGCCTTTCTAAAGGCAGAAAAGGTGCCAGAGAATCACAGATCCCTGCAGGGCTTTTGCTTTCCCCCTTGCAAGAGGTGTGTTACCCAAATGGGCTTCCTTAACGTGATCAAATACCCCATGATAGCTATAGAAAACTCTGGGGTGCGGAGGGCAGTAAGCAGCCATCACACCGCTGCAGTAGCGTTCTCTTTGACACACTGCTCTCCCCATCCTCCCTTCTGCACTGCAGGCTTCACAGCTCATTTTGCCCGAGGACCCAGGCAGAAGGCAGGGGCAGCAGGAGCCTCCTCCTACCCGGTGAGTCTGACCCTTGCGTGGATCCCCTTGGCATCAGCAGGGCTCAGGGCTTCGGCTTTGAGCTGCTTCTGTAAATGCCCTTCGTTCCCAGTGGGGAAGGGGAACAGCAAAAGGTTTCCAAGCTTTCTCCTCACCCGCGTGAGCTCAGAGGAGGAACCAGAGGAATGGTCTGGGTTAAGTGGTACTGGGATGGACTCGGGAAGCTCCTAAGTCACTGGCAGCAGGCTCTGGACCGCGCTGCTGCCTGCAGATGCCTTAACACGTGACAGTGCTTTGCCCATGGGCTGGTTCTGTGCTTTCTGTGTGAATCTAGAGCAGTTTGTGTGTTCATTGCTCAGCCTGGAGCTGCTTCAATAAACGTGAATAAACCCCACTGTGTCCCTTGTCTTTCTACTTCAGCAGCAAGGTTTCCCAGCCACACTCGAGGGAAAGAGTGCAAAGTATTCCCTGCTTGAGTCCGAATCTCCATCAGCCATCACAGGCTCAGATCTTCCTCTTATCTTTGTCATATGGGACTTGGGAAGGCTCCAGTGCTGCCTCCTAGCTCTGAAGGGCACACAGATCTCTTTAAAGCTCCAAAGATTGAGCTGTTCTCTGCCCTTACCTTGCAGCATCCTCTGCAGAGCTGGGTTTCCTCGCTGCCAAAAGGAATGCGGGGAAGCGCTGCTGCTCCTGCCCCGAGGGCTGTGTGCTCCAGGCGATGGCAGCAGTGGCTGGGATGGGAAGGCTCTGTTATGGGTGGGAGGCAGGAGACAAGAATGAGCATGGTCAGAGGGAAGGTGCCACTGCCTCACCGCAGCAGCAGGGGTTGGGTGCGATCCATTCTTCGCTTCCAGAGCTCAATACATCAGTGGCACTGGGGAAAGGCAGGAAGTGGCAGGAAGAGCTGCCCTGCTGCGGGCGGCTGAAGCGGAGGCACTGACTTCATCTCCATGCTCCTTCCTGATGCCCCAGTCACTTTCAGCCCCAGGCTGGGCCTTTTTCATCTGCCCTCACTGCATCACCTCGCCACCAGTGCAGAGGCCAACGGGAGGCTGCAGGGGAGAGGAGCCCGCAGCCTGCCCTGCAGACCCAGCCTGGAGCACCGCAGGCAGCAGAATGGAATCATTTAGGTTGGAAAAGACCTCTTAGATGTGGAGAGGGACTTTTTGACAAGGGCCTGTAGGGACAGGCCAAGGGGAATGGCTTGAACCTGCCCGAGGGGAGACTGAGATGAGCTCTTAGGCAGAAGCTCTTCCCTGGGAGGGTGCTGAGGCGCTGGCACAGGGTGCCCAGAGAAGCTGTGGCTGCCCCATCCCTGGCAGTGTTCAAGGCCAGGTTGGAGCAAGCTGCTCCGGTGGAAGGGGTCCCCATGGCAGGGGTTGGAGCTGGAGGAGCTTTAAGGTCCCTTCCAACCCAAACCAGGCTGGGATTCTATGACCCAGCAGTTGGAGCATGGGGCAGCTCCCAGCTTGGCCATGCCTCGTACAGAAGCAAGCTTGCAGCCCAGAGGAAAGTCACAGCGCAGGACTAGAAGCCAGCAGGGCAGCATCTCCATCGCTGCTGGAGAGCCTGGAGCTGCTTCACCTTTGTTATCCCTACAGCTAATCCTGAGCATTGGGCAAAGTCCAACACTGCTGGGCAAGGCAGGGGAGCGGAGGTTTCATCCGCAGCCGTTTGAGCAGCAGCTGGTTCAGTTGTGCTGCCAAGCAATAAACGCTGGCTCCCAGCCACGTCCACCTTTTGCACCAGGGACAAAGGCGCTTCTAGGTCCATCTGCCTCCTGTTGCCACCCTCCTGGCATCTGCAGCCCTGTGAGCTGAGCCCTGGGCCTTTGGGAGCGTCTCTGGTTTGTTTCCTCACTTCAAGCCCTGGAAAACCAGCACTTCAAGCACACCTGGGCTGGGCTGCTCCACAGTGGCTCCCAACTGCTTGGCAACAAAGGCAGAGCTGCTTTTCATCCCTTTCATCCTCCTTCATCTGGCAGAGAGCCCCCATGGTGTCCCTCCAGCCCCAGCTCCTCCAGCAGGGAGCACCCCTGGGGCAATCTCAACACCTTCTGCGTGCTTGAAGTCATCCCAACAGACCTGTTTCCCCGGTTCGATGTTTCCCTGCGTTGAGCCGCTCGCTGCTTCGGCGCTGGGGCCGGAGGGTTTAGGCCAAGGGGGGTGCAGGTGAGTTTGGTGTAGGGGGTTCCTTTGGTTACTGGGGCAGAATGAATAGAATTCCTTTAGAGCCTCAACACAGGCCTCTCCTCCTAGCCCAGAACCCCACTTTGTGGCCTCATCCCTCCAGCTGCAGGAGCTAGACCCCAGCCCACAACATCTGGGAGAGGCAACACACGTGGGCACTGGGAGGCTCCAAGCGTGACATCGCTGTCCCATGGGATATTCCTCTCCTCACACAAAGCCTACAGGCCCCCAAAGCCAGGGAAATAAACCATCAGGCTGACCCACATCCCTCCTGGCCACAACGTACTCATGTATGCATTGACTTGGAGAGAGCTATACTGCTTCTTGCATTGGTGGGTGCTCTCTGCTGAGCATCCCCTGCTGCCGGAGTGCCAAGGCATCACAGAGCCTTTCTCCCTTCTCCACTGTGGATACACAGGGATGTTAACCCCCAAACCAGCACAGGAATAACTGAGAAATTCCCTTTTCTGGCTCACATTGGTGTGGGTCATTCCGACGTTCTGCAGTGCACCCACCACGCAGCTAGCAAGGCACTGGAGGATGTGCTGCTGCTGCAATGACAACCCATGGCAAAGCACAAGGAAAAGCAAAGCACAAGCTACACACGGTGTGCCTTTGGCCATGACTGTGGATGCTGTGGCGGGGGTAAAAGGGACATTACACATCCACCTGCCCGAACCCCCCTGAAAGCTCTGTGTGTGACGTGCAGCCGTTTGGGAGAGCTCCAGGTTGAGCACCGTGCTGTGCCCCACGCAGCGGAGAGGCACCAGCCACCACTCGGGCAGGGGAAGAGGCACATCCACGTTGTGCTGCTCCTGTGTACGTGGGGCCCCAGAACAAAGCAATCCCTGCCCTGTTTGAGCCTCCTCTGTGTGCAGCAGTGGCCCAGCACCAGGGACCGTGTGTCACACGCTGCCAGCTCTGAGCCAGACCCTGGCTTTTATCCCCTGCCAGATCCCAGGGGCCCAGAAGCAGCGAACAATGAAGGCACCGCACAAGGGCAGGCCCCACATCCCTCATCTATCGAGCCTTGGGCTGGCCCCATCGCTGGGATGACACAAACCGGATTTGAATCAGAAGGCTGAGGAAAGGGAAAGGCAGAAACCAGCACATTCCCACTGTCAGAGCGCGCTCCGGAGCCGATATCCTTTGCGCACGGTTGTCCTCCAGCATCTGCCTTGCCGATGAATCTCAGCTGCACGGATGGGAACCATCAGCCTCGTCTCACCCACATGAAAGAGGGAGGTTTAGCAGAAAGCTGGGCATTGCCCATGGCCTCAGAATGAGTCAGCCACGTAGAAAGAAAGTGCTTTGGGTTTCGGGTTAATTAGCTCCAGATCCTAAAGCCAGACAAGGCAGGGCGGAGCTGCGGGGATACCGGTAGGAGCAAGTCAGGGGCTCTGAAGGCACCGTCCTGTTCGCACGCCCTGCTTGTGAACACCAAAGAACGCGTCTCTCAGACAGCAACAGCGTTATCAGTGACAGGGGAGGCGTTTGCAGGCACCCAAGGAACCCAAAGCGAACACAGGAACACCCACAGGCCTTTGAACACCCGCGGCTGCAGCAGCACCCAACCGCTAAGAGATGCAAATCCTTGCCCCCGAGGTTTCAACTTGCCCCTGCTGAGCTCTGGGCAGCTCCCGTTGGGAATCTGTGCTGCAGGGATGCCCTGTGGCCACATTAACCCTGGAGCATAGAATCACAGAACGGTTTGGGTTGGAAAGGACCTGAAGATCATCCAGTTCCAACCCCTGCCGTGGGCAGGGACACCTCACACTAAGCCATGGCACCCAAGGCTCTGTCCAACCTGGCCTTGAACACCGCAAGGGATGGAGCATTCACAGCTTCCTTGGGCAACCCATTCCAGTGCCTCACCACCCTCACAGGAAAGAATTTCCTCCTTATATCCAATCTAAACTTCCCCTGTTTCAGTTTGAACCCATCACCCCTTGTCCCATCACTACAGTCCCTAATGAAGAGTCCCTCCCCAGCATCCCTATAGCCCCCCTTCAGATACTGGAAGGCTGCTATGAGGTCTCCACGCAGCTTCTCTTCTCCAGGCTGAACAGCCCCAGCTTTCTCAGCCTGTCTTCATACGGGAGGTCTCAGGGATCTCCCAGATC